ATACGAGTGTGGGTTTATTAAGTGTGTGAAAAGTAGTGAGTGGGATTGTGTGTTATGGTGTACAAGTGTGTATGTGGAGTTTGCGTGTGACACCTGGTCTCCTATGCTCCTCTACCTGACCTGACCCACGACCACCTACTAGTTTATGTCTTCTATGCGAAAACCACGCATAGGCAAGATTCTTGCGATGCAGCCTGTAGCAGCCTGTAGATTGTCCAACTCGTTGTGTTGTCTTGGTGTATATCCACCTCCATTACTTGTCGATATATAAGGTAACCTATTCACTGTATTTTTTCACTGGTCACACACTAATTTCACTTTATTATCTTTCTTCAGTGGCACATATGACAACAATGCCTGTGCCACATTACGCCTGCCCACTCTGACTTGCGCCACCAAATATCACTTTCAAATTCACTTATAAAATTGTGGCTCTCCCCACACTTACGTGGCTCAGGGCAACTTGTAAATCAATTCAAAGAGAGTTCATTACCTTGACACACTTAACCCTTAAACTGTCCAAACAGATCAACGTTCAAATCCGTAGTGCTCCAAAAGTAGATCTACCTTTTTTTTACATATTTTCAAATATAACAAAAAAAAAACAGTAGAGAAAAATTTTTTTTACACGTTTTCAAATTTAAAAAAAAAAAAAAGATGATCTACATTTTTTTGCATACTTTCAAATGTTAAAAAAACATAGATCTACGTTTGGACAGCTTAACCCTTTGACTGTCACGGCCGTATATATACGTCTTACGAGGTACCGTGTTTGACGTATATATACTCATAAATTCTAGGGGCTTCAAATCAAGCAGGAGAAAGCTGGTAGGCCCACATGTGAGAGAATGGGTCTGTGTGGTCAGTGTGCACCATATAAAAAAAATCCTGAAGCACGCAGTGCATGAGAAAAAAAAACTCGGACCGTTTTTTTTAATTAAAACGCCGACTTTGTGGTCTATTTTTGTATAGTATTTATGGTTGTATTCTCGTTTTCTTGGTCTCATTTGATAGAATGGAAAACATATTATAGAAATAGAGGTGATTTTGATTGATTTTACTATAAAAAGAACCTAGAAATGGAGCTCAAAGTAGGGGAAATGTTTGATTTTTGCCAATGTTCAAAAGTAAGCAAATGATGTCATTGTCCAATAAATGTCCAACTAGCCATTCTAATATGCAGTCATGAATGGGTTGATGTTATTTATACAATTATTACAGTATTGCAGTAGTCTGCATAATAATAAGTCTTCTATTTTTCGTTAGAATAAATATTCAAAATAGAAAGCAAGAGTAATATCAGAGGTGCCTTGAGACATAACTGATGAACAAAGAATATGTTATTTTAGAGCCAGGAATATCTGCATTGTTCATTCTGGACCTTATTTTGAAATTGTCATATTTTTTAATTTTCGTGAAATTGGCCAAATTGCAAATTTCTGACCACATTATTGGGTAGTTGAAATCAGAAAATGGGCAGTTTCTTGTACTCAATTGACAGAAAAAAATGGAGTTCTAAATAAATAGCTTTGAGTTTGGTCGACAGGAACAAAGGAATTAGCAGAAAATAGGGCTCAAAGTGGGCGAAATCGCCGATTTGTAAATATCGCCCAGGTCGCTAACTTCACGAGAGCATAATTCCGTCAGTTTTCCATCAAATTTTGTTTTTTTGGTGTCATTACAATCGGGAAAAGATTCTCTATCATTTCATAAGAAAAATAATTTTTTTTTTTTAAATTTTGCGACGCCAGGAGACACCTCAGGATTGGGGGTTGCGACAGTCAAGGGGTTAAGGGTTAATCAACGTCTCCTGCAGTAACCTTAGGTAGTCCTCAAACACACTTATATTCACAGAGCACTAAAAGTGTGACTTTTTTTTTTGTGTGTGTGTTTGTGTATGTATGTACTCACCTAGTTGAGGTTGCAGAGTTTGAGTCCAAGCTCCTGGCCCCGTGTGTGTGTGTGTGTGTGTGTGTGTGTGTGTGTGTGTGTGTGTGTGTGTGTGTGTGTGTGTGTGTGTGTGTGTGTGTGTGTGTGTGTGTGTGTGTGTGTACTCACCTAGTTGTACTCACCTAGTTGAGGTTGCGGGGGTCGAGTCCGAGCTCCTGGCCCCGCCTCTTCACTGATCGCTACTAGGTCACTCTCCCTGAGCCGTGAGCTTTATCATACCTCTGCTTAAAGCTATGTATGGATCCTGCCTCCACTACATCGCTTCCCAAACTATTCCACTTACTGACTACTCTGTGGCTGAAGAAATACTTCCTAACATCCCTGTGATTCATCTGTGGACATACCCCTTAGCTCTGGGACTAGTCTTGTTGCAAACCTTTGTACTTTCTCTAGTTTTTTACGTGCTTGGCTAGGTGTGGGTTCCAAACTGGTGCCGCATACTCCAATATGGGCCTAACGTACATGGTGTACAGGGTCCTGAACGATTCCTTATTAAGATGTCGGAATGCTGTTCTGAGGTTTGCTAGGCGCCCATATGCTGCAGCAGTTATTTGGTTGATGTGCGCTTCAGGAGATGTGCCTGGTGTTATACTCACCCCAAGATCTTTTTCCTTGAGTGAGGTTTTTAGTCTCTGGCCCCCTAGACTGTACTCCGTCTGCAGTCTTCTTTGCCCTTCCCCAATCTTCATGACTCTGCACTTGGTGGGGTTGAACTCCAGGAGCCAATTGCTGGACCAGGTCTGCAGCCTGTCCAGATCCCTTTGTAGTTCTGCCTGGTCTTCAATCGAATGAATTCTTCTCATCAACTTCACGTCATCTGCAAACAGGGACACTTCGGAGTCTATTTCTTCCGTCATGTTGTTCACAAATACCAGAAACAGCAATGGTCCTAGGACTGACCCCTGTGGGACCCCGCTGGTCACAGGCGCCCACTGACACCTCACCACGTACCATGACTCGCTGCTGTCTTCCTGACAAGTACATATTCCCTGATGCATTGTAGTGCCTTCCCTGTTAACCCTGCTTGGTCCTCCAGTTTTTGCACTAAACTCTTGTGTGGAACTGTGTCAAATGCCATCTTGCAGTCCAAGAAAATGCAATCCACCTAACATTCTCTCTCTCTTGTCTTACTGCTGTCACCCTGTCATGGAACTCCAGTAGGTTTGTGACACAGGATTTCCTGTCCCTGAAACCGTGTTGGCTGCTGTTGATGAGATCATTCCTTTCTAGGTGTTCCACCACTCTTCTCATGATAATCTTCTCCATGACTTTGCATACTATACATGTCAGTGACACTGGTCTGTAGTTTAGTGCTTCATGTCTGTCTCCTTTTTAAAGATTGGGACTACATTTGCTGTCTTCCATGCCTCAGGCAATCTCCCTGTTTCGATAGATGTATTGAATATTGTTGTTAGGGGTACACATAGCGCCTCTGCTCCCTCTCTCAGGACCCATGGAGAGATGTTATCTGACCCCATTGCCTTTGAGGTATCTAGCTCACTCAGAAGCCTCTTCACTTCTTCCTCAGTTGTGTGTACTGTGTCCAGCACTTAGTGGTGTGCCCCACCTCTCCGTCTTTCTGGAGCCCCTTCTGTCTCTTCTGTGAACACTTCTTTAAATCTCTTGTTGAGTTCCTCATATACTTCACGGTCATTTCTTGTTGTCTCTCCTCCTTCCTTCCTTAGCCTGATTACCTGGTCCTTGACTGTTGTTTTCCTCCTGATGTGGCTGTATAACAGCTTCGGGTCAGATTTGGCTTTTGCCGCTATGTTGTTTTCACATTGTCGTTGGGCCTCCCTTCTTATCTGTGCATATTCATTTCTGGCTCTACGACTGCTCTCCTTATTCTCCTGGGTCCTTTGCCTTCTATATTTCTTCCATTCCCTAGCACACCTGGTTTTTGCCTCCCTGCACCTTTGGGTGAACCATGGACTCAGCCTGGCTTTTTCATTATTCCTGTTACCCTTGGGTACAAACCTCTCCTAAGCCTCCTTGCACATTGTTGTTACATATTCCATCATCTCATTAACTGGATTCCCTGCCAGTTCTCTGTCCCATTGAACCCCATTCAGGAAGTTCCTCATTCCCATGTAGTCCCCTTTCTTGTAGTATGGCTTCATTCACCCTGGCCTTCCTGCCTCCCCTCCAGTTGTAGCTCTACTGTGTATTCGAAGCTTAAAACCACATGATCGCTGGCCCCAAGGGGTCTTTCATATGTGATGTGATGTGTGTGTGTGTGTGTGTGTGTGTGTGTGTGTGTGTGTGTGTGTGTGTGTGTGTGTGTGTGTGTGTGTGTGTGTTGGGGGGTGTTAACCCTTAAACTGCCCTCATTGGCAGTTTATCCCTTAAGCTGTCCAAACATAGATCTACGTTCACGTGGGTAGCTCTCTGACCTTTATTTTCGCCATATGAAAGCATGTAAAAAAAAAAACAGATCTACAATCAGAGCACTACGCATGTCAACACAGATCTATGTTCAGAACACTACGCACGTCAACGTAGATCTATGTTTGGACAGTTTTACGGTTAAGGGTTAACTATGTAAGAGTCAGTGAATGGGAATATGAAGCATTCCTGTTTATTCCAAGGAAGGGGAGGGTAGCTCCAATAGCTTGGACCAACAAACCTTCACAGGCATCAGGAACCCCCTTCTTCACTGCCAACTGAAGGATGTTTGGACACAGATCTCAGTAATGAAGTGCATCAATTAAAGAAGAGCAAAGAAAGAAAATAGGAAAAGCAGAATAAAGAATAATATATAACATACAGGGCTAGTGACTGTCAGTGAAAACAGTTTTGCAATATATCGTAGAGCAACTCAAGATCAGCCAGCACGTGGATTAAGACCCGAATTTCTGTGGATTAGGACCTGAGGTACTGAGGCTAACTTCTTGGCTAGCTTCAGGAATAGGCTGGATAAATATGTAAGTGGAAGGAGTTGGATTTGAGAGGGACCTACCTTGCATGGGTTAGTAGGCAGTATTCCTCCATTTTTATGTTCTTTTGTTACATTCACAACTTTCTGTTAAAAGGACAAGAAAAACACTCACCATAGTCTCAAATGATGGAGGAATCACAGAGGAGTTATCTGACTGGACGAAGGATGCCCTGGGAGAAGTGGATGGCGGAGGACTTGAAGCCGCCTCGGAAAACTTTTCTCCAAGATTGACGCTGCTTAGTCCAGTATCCACCGGGGAAGCTGCAAAAGGTGCACTCGGAGATGGAGACAAGATACTGCTGAATGACTCCAGTACATTAGCATTAGCCGATGCATCTGCATCCAGAGGCAGAAAGGGAGATGGATAAGATAAAGATGGTGAAACATATGGAATGTTAGTTTGGAGAGGGGGAGAGAGAGTCGAGGTCGCAGGGGGGGATCTTGGTGAGACTGCACATGGGGAAGGCTGGAGGGGGTCGTATCCTGGCTGCTGCACTACATACTTGCTCCTCGGTCGACGCAGAGTGCTACTGCCTGAAACAACAAGCAGATGACAACCCTACACATATGTACAATAGCAGAACACTACCTTAGTCTACATTCGAAGACAACACACACACACAATACACAAATGGACAGAAGATCCTGTCTGACCAAACTGCTGAAGATTTATGAGAGTTACCAAGATAAAGCAAAACAGACAAGGATGGGAAGAATGAATCTTCTGGATTAAAAGAAAGCTTCTGGTGCACAAGTCCGAACATCAAGCAGGAATAAAAGAGTCATACAGTGGATCAAAGTGTATCTGAATGACAAAAAACAAAGTGACTGTACAGGAGGGAGTTTCAAGCTGAATTAAAATGCTCTCTAAAGGATCAGTACTAGTGTCATTACTAGTCTGCAGATAATGTACAACTATTAAGACAAATAAGCACATGAGTTTTCATTTTCCAGGGGTGGTCAAGTTAGTGGCCATTGGAGTTCAATCCAAATAAGTAGGTCATGAAATTTGTTCAAGTGACAGGAAGACTAGAGACTGAATGAAGTAGGGCCCCACTTTTATGGCAGGTTAGGTTCCAGGCTACCGCCGTAAAGCAGAAATCACCATAAAGTGGAACACCTTTTTTTCCACTTATAAATGCATATAAATAATAGATAACAAGTTTACACTAACATATATTAAGTTACCAATAGAACTAGCCATTAAAAAACAATAAAAAAGTCAAATACACATATAGTACACTCATTACTTACCTTAATATATTTGTAGTCTTAGTGTAGGGTCAGAGGTGGGTAAATGAGATAAAACGAGTAAATGAGAGAGGACACTGGCGGAGTTATGTAAACAAACCAGGCGAACACCAGTTTTGTAAACAAGCCAAGCAAACATGTCTGGTTTTTGTACAAGTTACATTGTGTACAAGTTGTCTCTATGTTGATAAAGTAGAATAAATAAAGGGGAACACTCCCATTCTCATGTAACACCATTTTATAGAAGAAATGACACTCTGAGTGAAAGCATACAAAAGGAATAATTTTCTACAGTTACCCCCAGTAACACATTTTCTCTGTTGGACTAGAGAAAATGTTATTCTTGCCGTCACTCGTACAAGTTGTCTGGCTACCACATCTCATATTTATGTTTATTTATTCTACTGTGGGGTGTATTTATCAATTATATAATTTTGTAAAAATATCATAGATGGATTAATGTGTATATTAACATAACATACGACATTAAATGAGACTGATTATTATTGAGCATTATTATTATTACTAATATGGCGTCACTCGTACAAGTCATCTGGCTATCACATCTCATATTTATGTTTATTCTACCGTGGGGTGTATTTATCATCTTTATATGTTATGTATAGTGTTTATTATATAATTCTGAAAAAATATCATAGATGGATTAATGAAAATGTGTATATTAATGTAATATACGACATTTAATGAGACACAGTGATTATCATTATTATTATAATTACTAATATAGCATCATGAGACATGAGACACTCTTACTGACTTTAATGTGTACCTGCACGCCAGCACAGTGTGTAAGTTTATTTAGGTAAAGGTATACATAAGTATAATCATCAGAGTATATATAAAATAACTTTTAAAAACACTTGAGATATTGGAGTTTCCAGACATAATGGAGAGACGTGGTGCTTACTGAGCTCATGGAGAATGTAAACAAGTTGAGTGGGGTGCGGTGACTGTATTAGAAAGTCAGGTGGGGGAAGCCATATAGCATGTTTTTGTCACAGTTTGAAATATCCATATTAGTGGAACGCTGTAAAGCGAAACGCCGTAAAGCGGGGCCCTACTGTACAGACTGGGAGGTAAGAAACTACAGATATCAGTGAGTGAAAAGCATCAAGGAGTAAATATAAACATGTCAGCAAAAGATCACATATATCATTTGATCTTCGCTGCTCATATGAGGTGAACAAAGAATCTTTCAGAGTTTTGTACACAATGTACATCAGGCCCATCTTAAATTGTGCACCAACCTAGAGTCCCAACCTCATTAAGTACATTCAATAGCTTAAAAGTGTGCAAAGGTCTGCATACAGCAGATCAGTCCTAGGGCTAAAAGGCTACATCATGAAAGGCAACAAGGAAGACCCTGGAAGAAGGGATGGCCAAGAGGGACATGAAAATGAAGAATAAAATGCTCAGAAGAGTTTATTGGGCTGATGAGGTTTTTTTTTTTTTTTTTAACCCTTAAACGGTCCAAACGTATATATACGTTCACTCGCGTAGCGCCCCAAATTTTTTGAGAAAAAAAAATCTTTTTTTTTTAATAGGAAAAAAGAGCATATGGTATCCAGGCATCCCCAATTATTTTAATATGGCGCACAATGAGTGCGCACACCCATTCTCTCATGTCTAGGTGACTCAGGCTTATTGTGGCAATGTTGAATGAATGACCAAGAAAATGTATTTATACGTTTGGGGCGCTACGCGCGTGAACATATATATACGTTTGGATCGTTTAAGGGTTAACCAAGGCCCAGATACAGAGAAATACAAATGGAAGTTAAAAATGCAGGTGAGTAACATGGATGTTAGTAAACACTTCTTCAGTCTCAGGGTAGTAAGAAAGTGAAAGGAAGAAGTTTCAAGAGTATAAATGATAAGAATGAAGAAGCCAGAAACCATTAATGATAGCTGATGTACATAAAATGAGCCAGGAGCCAGAGCTCAACCCCCAAAAACACAAATTGCTGAGAACACAGAGTTATCCAACATATGAACCTTAGCACCACTGTTATCAACCAATGAAAGTTAGCAGCACAGTTATCAATGTATAATACTTAGCACCACAGTTATCAATGTATAATACTTAGCAGCACAGTTATCAATGTATAATACTTAGCAGCACAGTTATCAATGTATAATACTTAGCACCACAGTTATCAATGTATAATACTTAGCACCACAGTTATCACTGTATAATACTTAGCAGCACAGTTATCAATGTATAATACTTAGCACCACAGTTATCAATGTATAATACTTAGCACCACAGTTATCAATGTATAATACTTAGCAGCACAGTTATCAATGTATAATACTTAGCACCACAGTTATCAATGTATAATACATTAGCACCACAGTTATCAATGTATAATACTTAGCACCACAGTTATCATGTATAATACTTAGCACCACAGTTATCAATGTATAATACTTAGCACCACAGTTATCAATGTATAATACTCAGCACCACAGTTATCAATGTATAATACTTAGCACCACAGTTATCAATGTATAATACTTAGCACCACAGTTATCAACCAATATGTAGAAGCACATCAAAATTTAAGATAATTATTATTACATGATTACAAATCGTACTGTATTTTGTGAAGAGCAAAAAACCATGTGGGTCAGTCAGCACTAAACAACATGTGGGTCAGTCAGCACTAAACAACATGTGGGTCAGTCAGCACTAAACAACATGTGGGTCAGTCAACACTAAACAACATGTGGATCAGTCAGCACTAAACAACATGTGGGTCAGTCAACACTAAACAACATGTGGGTCAGTCAACACTAAACAACATGTGGTCAGTCAGCACTAACACCATGTGGGTCAGTCAGCACTAAACAACATTGGGTCAGTCAGCACTAAACAACATGTGGGTCAGTCAGCACTAAACAACATGTGGGTCAGTCAGCACTAAACAACATGTGGGTCAGTCAGCACTAAACACCATGTGGGTCAGTCAACACTAAACAACATGTGGGTCTGTCAGCACTAAACAACATGTGGGTCAGTCAGCACTAAACACCATGTGGGTCAATCAGCACTAAACACCATGTGGGTCAGTCAGCACTAAACACCATGTGGGTCAGTCAGCACTAAACACCATGTGGGTCAGTCAACATGAGGGTGAGGGAGGCTTCATTCTCAATCATTATTTGCATCTGAGTAATTGTGACATGTACTGTGTCTGTGGTGAAGTACTATATTAGTAAAGCCTGGATAAGATAGTCATAGTAGTTAATGTTGATGTGAAAGACATACAACACTATGGAGTAATACATGTTACTGGTTCCCAGATTTTTTCTACCAATGCAAATTGGTCTGAGGCCAGAAACTGTTGACTGCCTGTTCAACCAGGCTGTTACTATTGGAAGCTAACTAGCTGATATAGCCACAGCATCATGACTGATCTGGCACTTTCCAGATACAGTGGAACCTCGGTATACGACCAGCTTCCTACTCGAACAAAGTTCAGCACTCGACCAAACATATGCAACCTGCCAGAACTTTGCTGTAAACTATTTTGTGTTTCTTTGCATTTTTTGGTGTTTTTAGCATTATTTGTATAAACAAGTCACCATGGGGCCTTTGACAATTAGTGATAACAGCCAACCAAACAGAAAATTGGTTGGGAAGAACTCGTTCGATACTCAAACGGAGCAGCACTCGAACAGCCTTCTGGAATGAATTAAGGTCATATACCGAGATTCCAGTGTATAGTGATCCAGTATCTCTTGGAAGACTTCTACACTCGCCTCTGCAATATTTCTACCTGCTGCTGCTAGCCTTTAACCCTTTCAGGGTCCGTCCCATAGATCTACGCCATGAGCTCAGCTCACTCTGATAAACTGTGAGTGGTACATTTGGGCCTAGATATGAGAGAATACATCTATGTGGTATGTGTGCACCACATAAAACAGATCCTGCAGCACACTGTGTATAATGAGAGAAAAAAAATGAAATCATGATTTTTTTGATTAAAACAGCAACTTTGCTTGTTTTTTCGTATGTTTTTTATAGTTGTATTTGCGATTTCCTTGGGCTCATTTGATAGAATGGAAGACATATACAGAAATAAGATGATTTTGATTGGTTTTAAACATTGGAAATGGCTTTTAAACTGAGCCAAAGTAGCGGAAATGTTTAAATTTTTGCCGATATTCAAGAGTAAACAAACGACCTCAACGCTAATACACGTCAGCTGTGGGTCTAATATACATTCCCCAAATAAAGGTGATGATATTTATACAAT